GCAAGTCATATTTCCGAGCTCAGGAGGTCATTGCTGTAACACATCTAACGAAAATGGCCAGAGGAAAATGTGACTTTTATTGAGAGCTGTGGAAATGCTCGGTGCCTTGGCCTTGCTGAGTTCGTGCTGGGCTCTGGGGAAGAACTGAGCACGGGTAAAGCCAAGATCTGGACAATTTAGCCAAAAAGGTGGCTTGGAAATACCAGGGCTTAATGTGAATGCAGGAAGGGGAGGATGGGTGCTGGAGGCTGTCCTGTCTGTCTGTTGGTGCAGCAGTCTCCTGTTCCCCCTCCTCAGTAAGTAGAGCAGCTTGGAGACAAATGCTCTTAATAGCGAGAACTTTACAAGTGAAAAAGCAGGGGTGATATTCATAATAGAGCTAATGTTGTAGTCACTCTTGTGAAGAGCGCAACTACACTAGGTGTAACTAAGTTCTAGCATCTCTTTGCCAGTCTGACGAGTCTAGTCTGCTTTAGCCAGCTCATAACTTGGAAATTCCTTGCTTCTCTGGTTCCTTCTTAGTTACGTAGTGTGTTTTTTCTGACGAAGAAACTGTAACTACATGTAATATGCAAAATGGAAGCAACCACAAATGCATATGATGGAAGAATCGCTCTCCATCATCCATTTGCCTCTGGCTACCAAGTGCTAGACAGCATGGTGAGAACTGTGTATTGCCTCCCCAATCCTACTTCTGCCTAGGAACAGTCAGCTATCGTGGCCCTTCAGAGCTGGGCAGATATTTACCCAGGTAGAAAATTTGGTTTAATTTTATTGGCTAATTTGCTCTGTAGTCACTCTGAGCTGAGGTCCTCCTAGTTCTTCCTCATCAGCCCTGTTCTACAGTGCTCCAAAGGTAGTAACTTCAAAAGGCTCTGTAGTCTGAGTATTTAGGAAAAGAAGCAAAGAAAAGCCAACAAGGATGTGAATACCTGGTAGCTCTAGGCCACCTCAGAACTGTGAGTAAAGGTTATTCTATCCTCACAAATCCCCTTTTTCCTTGTATCATTTGAACCAAACTGCTAGAGGAAATAAAGCAATATTGGTTTCCGAAGGTGGAAACCAACATATCATCATGACCTGTCTAAGGTACCAAAGCGATACAACCCTACAGAGCACGTTTTGTCTGCTCAAACACTTCAGATGCTACTGTGAAGTGCTGCTTATGTAAATAAGAGGTTCTTAGAGCTATGAATACTTTTGTTTAATGAATAAACATGAAATATTCTGCTTCAAAAACAATAACACTTCCCTTCAGTGCCTGAGGATTTATGTAAGTTTGAAGGGTGTGCCATGTAATAGCAGTCTAAAATAGCTATGTGGAAGCGAAGGCATCCATGAATTTCCTGCCTTAATTCTTTTATCTTTGTTTCTGGCTAGTCATCAAGGAGTGTTGACTAGTTCCACAGTGGGCAGCTCTGTGCAAAGCAGCCCATAAGAAATGGGCCTGTGTGTAGGGCAGGCTGCTGCGCGGGCAGTTTCAGCCCTGTTCCCCATGAGGGAGCAAGTCACACAAACAGCTGTGCTGCCCAAGCTGCATTCCCCCCTTCCCCAGGGAGCTCCCTCAGCGCTCCTATTGATTTCTGTCTGACAGAGCTGGCTGATGGATGCGGCTCTCTTGGCTTCTTACAGCCATCTACAAAACATACGTATTGATTGGATCATCTCGGGATAGATTGGTAGGATAAACTCATTACCATAGGCCCCTTCTATAATGTATCAAAGCCTTTATGAGTCAATGAGTCCATCCAAAACAAAACTAAAAAACATACTGCAAACTTTGGGATCAAATTTCTGGAAAACTTGCTGCCAGCAAGTAATATGTTTTGAACTAATGATGCTCTCTGCGAAAAGAGCAAAACTGCCTCCTGATGCTTTTTCAAAAGAAGGAGAAGCAAAAATGCTGGACACGTTCTGGGGCTACTGTGTTAAGTGGTATAGTAGCCACTGGAGTGTGTGGTTGCTGCTGTGATGACTTTGCATTTGTGGGCACCGCGGAGTTCTCGGTTACCCCGCGCGGTGCGAGAGCCTGCAGGGCAGTGACTGCCCATCAAGGGCTCTGCCGGCTGCTCCGTGCCAGCCTCTGCTCTGGGCACGGTGCGGACTCGCTTGCCTTCTGCCGCATGAAGCCTGAAAAAGGGAAAGCCTTTCTCAAGTAAAAAGGACACGGAATGAATGTGCTCGCTGCATACCAAGCACACTCGTGCCAGGGTGCCTGCTGGAAGCCCCCAGAAGATACGGTGCTCTGCTTGGCGTGCTGAGCTCACCGTGCACCTTTATTATAACTAAGCAAGCGAGCAACTGGAGGAGCTCTGCTGTTCCACAGCTTCTGGATTAAAGAGCCAGTCCAGCTCATTAGTTCCTCTGTAGTTCAATGCTGTGTTTAAAAAACAGACAGACCCAGTGGGGGGAAGCAGTCATGTAATGCAACAAAACCTTTGATAGAAAAGGAATTCAAATTAACACTTAAAATAACCATCTCATGGCTCTATCCCTTGATGTAACAGTTTTAAATGTTAATTCTGATCCTCTTATTTTTACGCTGCTTTTAGCACAGGAAACTGAAGAATTTATTTGCAAGTCTAAGGTGTGCTTTAACAAACTGCAAGCTCTGACAAGAGTTATTGGATGCCTGTAATTACTAGACTGCTGTCACGCTGCATCAGAGCTGTGATCCTTCCCAGCACTGACACGGGGTGATTCCAAGGCTCAGAAGACACAGTAAGTAACTCAAGGAGGCACATGTGGGACACTGCCAAAGCCTGTCATACGGAGCCTCAATAGTTAGATGAATCCTCCTACTAACATGATTCAGAGCTGTAGCAGACCACACTCTGATCTGAAGGATCCTGATCCCGATAACCTCTGATCTGTTGTCCTCCTGCAGCAGCAGGAGTTCCTCAGGGGGACGGCTGCAGGATGTGGCTATGTCAGTATGCTCATTTTTTCCTTTGTCATCATCCAAAACACATTATCTTACCACCCACTCGCGCTTACGCCCCCCTTATTGATAGAGTAAAAAGTACTGATGGTTGCACGCTGAAGCAGCTGTATGCTACTTATTTAATTACAGCTAACAGCTTTTGTGTGTGTGCCAGCACATGTCCGTGCTGCTCAGGGCCTGTTTCAATGCGATCTGCAGATGAGGCAGGGGAAGGGCAAGTGCAGGGGGCTTTGCAGCACGGCTGCACCAAAGGACCCTGCGGAGCTGGGGCTGCCTTGCTGCTCTGCCACCTCCTCGGGCTATTGGGGCAGAGGTGTGGGGAGTGCAGGGCCACTCCTGCAGGCCTTGAAAACATTCAGCAGGC